CATAATTAAACCTTCGGGCACAGTCCATCCAATTAACCCTTCATCAACCATTAAACTCATTTACGGTGTACAACGTCGACGGGGGACGAGGGGGAATGGTGGCCGGTTCTATACGGGCGAGAAAAATGGACGAGAACGGCGCAGATTAGGGTCTAACTCTTACCGACAGAGGTCTCGAGCGTTTATGCTGTAGAAGCCACTAAAGCGCTCGCTATAGTGTTCAGTGACGTCACAGAAGTAGAAGAAGAGGTGCTTATTTAGATGACTTGTTCAGTAAACTATTTAGTAGATTTATTAAGTAATAAAGTGAAATCAGGCATGATGCGTCGTCACTGGTGGACAATCCCATAAACATATAAGTAACGTGGACTTGGTAAAAGATTGATGGTTTTATTTTTCATTAATTAGTACACTTGAGTGTTGTTTCTGCCTTAGGACATGAGCGTATATGTTTTCTACATTCGTTCAGTTGCAAACGTTTTATATACGAATTTCCAACTATTCTATTCCGTTAATTAATAAAGAATAAAAATTCATTCTTAACGACAGTTAGACAGCATATTCATACTGCATCCCCCCAAAATCGAATCTTTTTAAAACACACTACAGGTTATTCTAGTTGCTATATGACCATCACTAGACGTGGTTTATGTTATTTGTTATACAGACTAATGGTGAACGAGGCTTAATGATCTCAAGCTGCTGAACCACCAAAAGCGGCATCAACAAATTGTTCTATCGTAAAACAAAAATTACGTTTTTTTTTGTTATAGACAATGTATTTTTAATTTTGTATCGTACAAACATAACAAATTCCGGATTTCCTTATCAATTCACAGAATATTCATTGTAATATATTGTAAAAAATAAGTTAGATAGTTTTTAAGGCTATTTCGGCATTATGATAGATGTTGTACAATGGAAATATTATTAGGTTTTTGGTGTCAGATAAGATTATATTCATTACCGTCTCGTATAGAATCAAGAACGAATAGGATTTAAATATCAATAGAGAATGTAATAACTTTTGTATCCCGTGTCAGATAACCACTAGGACCTTCAAATCACATAATGATTATAAAAATGTTTTAACCATAGAGGCTGGCAATATATTAATCGTTGTTTTGTAGAAGCAGAGATGACTAGGATTTTAACACCAGAGAATACAGACACACATACACACAACACACACACACACACACACAACACACACACACACACACACAACACACACACACACACAACACACACACACATACATACACACAACAAACACACATACACACACACACACACTATAGACAACAAACTTGACTGGAAGGCCCATGTAAAAAACACAGTCAAGGCAGGCTCGTACCGTCTCTACGTGCTACGAAGACTTAGGTCACTTGGGACACCCACGCCAGAGCTGAGGACCATCTACAACGCCTTTATTCTCCCCAAACTAACATATGCGTCACCAGCCTGGTCGTCTTCTCTCAACTCCACCCAACAACGTCAGCTAGAGAAGGTACAGAACAGGGCCTGCAGAATCATGCTCGGCGCAGAATACTCCGGCTACACCAACGCTTTCTCCACCCTGGAAATGCCATCCCTCAGTGACCTCCACCACCAAGCACTGGAAAGGTTTGGCAGTGGACTACTGCACTACCCTCGCCATCGCCACCTCCTGCCACCTGCAGCCCCCCACCCAACTCGCGCAGTCCGCCACTACAACAAAATTCAGCCCATAAGAGCCCGCACCGATAGATATAAGAACAGCACCATCCCACCTATTGTTAAAATAAGAAACAACTCCTGATTTATGTACTGTACAGCCCTGTAAATGTATTCAATGCATATTATATCATTATGTCCAAATCAAATGTAAGTCTATATATTTTCAGTCACCGGCTGCAACTCTATTAATAAACCGTTTATTATTATTATTATTTACATACTGAGCTGACTAGAGGAGAGAGAGAGAGAGAGACCAAGACTGTGTTAGCATCTGTTGGTTTGTTTGCTCTTTGTGACGTGAGTTGGGCTTTCATGCGCCTGGGAGCTGGATGACATTAAAGTAACTCACCGATGTTGTTCACGATGTTTGATGTTGGCTTAGTGTGTGTGTGAGAAACAAAGGGAGAGTGAAGATGGTGGGGGTGATGTTATAATAGGTGTCGTGTGTGTGTGTGTGTGTGTGTGTGTGTGTGTGTGTGTCCCCGCGCGCGCGCGCTTGGTCGTATATAGTTTTGAATGCGTTAAATAAAATGTTAATGAAGGCATGCCTCCCAATGTAAGTATATGTATGTGTAAACTCTCTCTCTCTCTCTCTCTCTCTCTCTCTCTCTCTCTTATGTATGATAAGTGACAGTAGCGTGTTGGTGAGGTAATGTCAGTATTCATTTAAGAGGAAGTTCCTGCCGGTGACAATTGAGAGCTTGGGACCACCTTCCTTGCTACCTGTTGGAGCCCAGGGAAATTAGAGGTAGTGAGAGAATGGTGGTAGGTACACTGGAGGCAAGTTTAGAGAAAGTGAGGGAATTGTGGTAGGTATTTAGTGAGAGAATGGTGGTTGGTATTTAGTGAGAGAATGGTGGTAGGTATTTAGTGAGAGAATGGTGGTAGGTATTTAGTAAGAGAATGGTGGTAGGTACACTGGAGGCAAGTTTAGAGAAAGTGAGGGAATTGTGGTAGGTATTTAGTGAGAGAATGGTGGTTGGTATTTAGTGAGAGAATGGTGGTAGGTATTTAGTGAGAGAATGGTGGTAGGTATTTAGTGAGAGAATGGTGGTAGGTATTTAGTGAGAGAATGGTGGTAGGTACACTGGAGGCAAGTTTAGAGAAAGTGAGAGAATTATGGTAGGTATTTAGTGAGAGAATGATGGTAGGTATTTAGTGAGAGAATGGTGGTAGGTACACTGGAGGCAAGTTTAGAGAAAGTGAGAGAATTATGGTAGGTATTTAGTGAGAGAATGGAGGTGGGTATGCAGGAGGGAAATTAAAGACAGTGAGAGATAATGGTTGTTATGTTGGAGGGAATGATGGTACAGGTGTTGGGAAATTAGATAAATATGAGAGGAAAGTGAGAGAGAGAGAGAGAGAGAGAGAGAGAATGACGGTAGGCAGAGTCTGGTAAGTAAAGAGTGTTGCGTGTTGGTGAGCAGCAAGATAGATTATATTCCCCTCTGTTATCTGAGTGCGTTCCTTTAGTTGGTCCGGCGTTGATATAGTATTTAATATTACCTTAGAGAATTAATAATACGTGTAGTGATAAATAAACAGAACTTCAGTATCATCACTCTGAGAGTAGGTGGCCGACGTGCGTTCAGTATAGATGAAAGGTAGAAAAAAGTGAAAGAGTCTGTAACATTTAAAAAAAATAATTACCTGCCGAACTAACCCTTCAGGCGTCCATATGAGACGAGGTACATATTGTCAGAACAATTACATTGCTTACTTGTTAAAAGTAGAGATATATTTTTTCAACTATTTTTCGTGTTGATTCTTAAAATTAACATTATTGGTAAACAAAGGTATTAATGACACCATTGTATATAACATAAGAGGTGAATTTAACATTTCTATGTAATTCTGACACATATTTTCTAATAAATTTTAAAATTTTTAGATCACACAGATGATAATAAAAACAGTTATAGTTTAGATGACATAAATAACATTCCGTTTATATAGTACCTGGATGACATAATTATAGAAATAACTTTCCGTGTTATTTATAATTATCTTTGAACGAGGTAAATAAATAAATACCATTGCGTTTTGTATAATCGTTGAGTAATGTGGATACAAGATCTCTGGATGGCACATGGCACATAACTGTAACCTTGCGCTCTCTATAATCTTTGGATGACGGAAATAAATCACTTTCAGTTTTCTTGTCATTCCCCGAAACAGAAAGAAATTAATCACAGGGAAGACTTCGAAGTTATTTTCCAAGAGGTTTGTTATTGTGTGTAAATCACAAGATGAATAACGGGGGACATTTTAACGTCGTATTTACATTTTTTTTCGATTTAACATTACTCAGTTTGTGCATTGATGAGGACCAGCACCAGCGTCATTTATTTTGTTTACCTTTGACTTTCGATAGGGAGGTCATAATAGTGAGTCTACCTGTACCATGGTTGTGGGTGGGTATAGTGATGGGTTTCCATGGTGGCAGATAGCCTAGTGTGGCTACATGGTCTTGGGCTTACCATTATGGAATGGTTGAGTGATGGCTACCATAGTGATGGCTTTACCTACCATGGGCGTGACTTACTGGTAGTTACACTGTGGTGGATGTATCAGGGTAGTTGGTTAACATGGTATGGGACGGCAACCATAGTAGTATATAGCGGACGTGGTAATCTGTATTAATGGTGGTAGTTGTCCTGCGGTGTCAAGTTGGTGAGCAGCTGTGTTAGTGGCTAGTCACAGGTGGGTGACCCGGGTGGTCACAGGTGGGTGACCCGGGTGGCCACAGGTGGGCGGTCTGAAAGTTCATGGATGAGCGGCCAGAGATGGACGGCCCAGGTGGTCACAGACGGAAGGCTCGAAAGTTCGTGGGTGGGCGGCCAGAGATGGACGGCCCAGGTGGTCACAGGTGGGCGGCCCGGATATTTATGGATGAGCAGCCAGGGTAAACACAGCTGGGCGGCACTAGTGGTCGTCTGATGGTTAAAGATGGGTGGGCGGCCCAGGTGGTCATAGGTGGGTTGGGTTTGTAATCATGGGCGGTCAGATGCTGGCGAGTGGCCATACTTGGCAAAGACCAACAATACTTCAGCATAAGTAAATAACATCCTCATGACCACCAAACACACACAGTCCGTAAGGTCGAGAGGTCGTAGATTCTCACTATACCATCGCCCATATGTGCGACTCCTCGACTTGGTCACTCTCGCGTGGAATATCAAAGAAGGAAAGAGAGAGATAAGAGCGACCGCCTCTATATAACCCCGACCTAGCCATAACGGCCAGGCTCAGTGGCCCGATGAAAACGGTGGATGGTTCACTCTTACTGTTATATATATATATATATATATATATATATATATATATATATATATATATATATATATATATATATATATATATATATATATATATATATATATATATGGCGGTCACCTGTATATAAAGGACACCTGTATATTGTGGCTTACCTGTGTATAGGGGTACAGGTATTATATCTTGAAGGTAGCCACCATATACAGGCTATATTTTTTTTTACTGTATTTTGGCATCGATGCTTTTATTTACACACACTCAGTCAGAACCGAACCAGAGAGATGTTCCTGTATCTCTCTTCTCTTGTTATTGTCTCTCACTCAAGTATTATCACCCTTATCGTAAACTGTTTCACCTTTTTTGGTCAGCACTGCCTTCTAGTACCAAGTGGCAGAGGTAACACAATACTCACACAAGTTTTCCTTTATTCCACACATGTTCACTAGAAACTGCAAGTATTTTTATTTTCATGTCAACTTCCGGCAGGTGTTCACATCTGACTCTGAACGCGGGAGTCACCTGGTATAAAAATCACTAAGCTATATTTCATCTGGGACATGTTCTACACTGCCATGAGTCTGTAACACCTATCATGGTTGTGAATGTTTGTTTTGACACAGGTACAAAGAACATCTTCACACATGCACAGCTCGATCGCCACTTTAACACGGTCTTTTCGACTTAATTGTGCAAGTCGGTTGTTCACAGATATTGAGTCTAGTTATGTCCTTCACTGGGTTGCTTGTTTTACCATATATACATATATTAGAGAACATCACTGTATATCTTCATATTGTCAGTACTTAGTACACACTGTATTTTATAATCCTGCTCCTGACGTTGGCATCCGTGTCTGCTTTAACAATTGTTCAGTCATCTACGCATTTCCAGAAACTTCTGGTGTTAGCCAGTTTTTGTGTTAAGATACAGGGAAGGTGACAAAATTCGCCTTACAGCTCTTATCTTTCAAAAATGATGATTAGGTCACAGGGTTTCAATCTCAAGGCCCCCGAGGCGAGACTGTCAACAATGCGACAGTTTCCCCGGTGGCTCGCAACTCACACAGGAGAGAAGACCTTTGGTGTCGCTTTGTGCTGGTTTAGTCTCGGCTCACTCCACTGGATTGCTTTCCCTGGCTTTGTAGACTTCTGGTTTGTTTGGCTTGTCTTTTGAAACTGGATTGGCTCTGGAAGCTCCGTGCATGACTCTCTAGGCTTGCTTATTGCCTGGAGGCCTGGCGTGCGTGGCGGCAGCTTAAGGTTTTTAGCACAAAAAGGTCGCGGACTTACCTGATCTTCAGGATTTTTTTAAATCAGTTCAGTTTAGGATTATTCTTGGCTTAGGATTTCTTACTTTAGTGAAGATTAAAACCTAAAGACATTCACCTTGACTCCTGGAGATGCTCCTCGTCTTCCAGAGCTGCACTCTCATGTTCCTGAATTCAATTATTACTTCAGAGATCTGATCCCCTTTCAGTTTGAAAGTTTCTAACTTAAGGGAGTTCAGACATCAGCTTCAAACGTGAACTTTGATTTCATCTTGACTCTTTTCTTTTCTCACTGGACTTTCGGTGCATCCTCTCAGGTATAATGGTCATAGCTTTCGGATTTGTCTGTCTTGAGGAGAGGCTGGCGTTAACCAAAGTGACTGTGTATGTGTCTGTGGCGTTTTCAAGACCTACAAATTATTCCTCAGGTCTTGAAACTCTGAAACTCACAACGTCAGCACGTCAGTATTCGAACCATGAACGAAGACCTTCAAACTTAATACTAGCTAAGTCGAGGCCTTTCAGCTTCCAGTACGTATAGCCTCGACCCCAACATGAGGCGAGGCAGGGGGTTGAGGGGTCGTAGGTTGAGGGCGTGAGTTTTGAAGGGTGTGGGCTGTGTTACGAGCGGAGGAGCGTGAAGACAGCGTGGAGCAGCAGGGACAGCACCATGAGCACCGTACAACACCTGCTGCCCCGCCCTGCGCCTCTGTTGGTCTGCATGATGCCTGGTACTCGCCTGGAGGAGAAAGAAAGAGAGAGAGGTAAGGTTAATGTGGAGGACACGGGGTCGCCGACACTAACGTGACGGAAAAGTTAATTATTATATTTAATTATTTGACACACACAAACACACACAGTCTAAGTGCAGCTCTCCTTCCCTCAAACCCAGGCGGCCTCCATATACCTTGACTCTTAGACACGACCCTCCCTCCCTCCCTACCACCACCCCCCCACCTCTCTCTCTCTCTCTCATTACTAACTTCCATCTATGCCACGAGGTAGTCAGTATCCCCAAGGGGCGTGTTACCTAAAGGCTTGGCTGCCCTCCCACAACTTATTGGTCACCCTTCCTCCTCCCTCTATACCTTTGGTCTTCTCCAACTTCTTCCCTCGCCTCCATCAGCCTCTACATCTCTCCCCTCAAGACTCTCCCCTTAAGCCTCCCTCCTCAGCCTCCTCCTCTCCCCCAGGCCTCTCACATCTCTCCCCTCAAGCCTCTTCTCTCCCCTCAGGCCTCTCCTCTCTCTCCCCCTCAGGACTCTTCCCTCTCCCACAGGCATCTCACCTCCCCCACTCAGGCCCTGCCACTCTCCCGAAAAGCCTCCCCTTTCCCTTCTCCCGCACCCCTCCCCTCTCCCCTGTAGCCTCTTTCATCTCTCCCCTGCCTCCTTTACCTCTCCCCATCAGACTCTCCCCTTCTCCCCCAGGTCTCCCCACCCCCTCCGTCCCCCTCACTCTCCCCCCCCAGGCCTCTCCCTCAAACCTCTCCCCTGCTCCTCCCTCAGGCATCTCCCTCTCCCCAAAGTCTTTCCCCCCCCCTCTCCGCTTAGGGCCCCCCAGGTCCTCCCCCTCAGATCTCTTCCCCCTCTCCCCTCAGATCTCTTCCCTCTCTCCCTTCCGGCCCTTCCCTCTCTCCTCTCAGGTCTCTTCCTCTCTCCCCTCAGATCTCTCTCCCTCTCTCAGGGTCTCTTCCCTCTCTCTCCTCTCAGGCCCCTTCCCTCTCTCCTTCAGGTCTCTTCCATCTCCTCTCAGGTCCTCCTCTCCTTGGCTCTCTGTCACACGGACGTAAGTGACATCCTACTCTGAGTGAGAGATATATACCTAACTCACCCCAGCAAGACCTCTGAGGGGGAAAATGAGCCGAGATTGGGGGTGTCCGTAAGTGGTCCGTGGGTGATATAACGTAATGATATGACGTGTCGGTGGATGAGTGATAATTTATCAGTGGGTGATAGTGGCGTGTCCGTGTGAGATAGGATGTTATTGGGATAATAGTGTCCGAGGGTATAATGGCGTGACCGTGAGAGATAACTGTTGTCCGTGTGAGATAGTAAGTTATTGGGTGATAATAGTGTGTCCGTGGGTGATAATAGTGTGTCCGTGGGTGATAATGGCGTGTCAGTGAGAGATAATGGTTGTCGTGGGAAATAATGGCGTGACCGTGAGAGATAACTGTTGTCCGTGGGAGATAATGGTTGTCCGTGGGTATAATGGCTTGTCCGTGGGTTGATAATAAGGAGAGATAATGGTTGTCCGGTGGAAATAATGGCGTGACCGTGAGAGATAACTGTTGTCCGTGGGGATAATGGCTTGTCCGTGGGTGATAATGGCGTGTCAGCGAGATAATGGTTGTCCGTGGGAAATAATGGCGTGTCCGTGAGAGATAACGGTTCTCCGTGGAGATGAATGGTTGTCCGTGGGTGATAATGGCTTGTCCGTGGGTGATAATGGCTTGTCCGTGGGTAAGAAGGTTGTGTCCGTGGTTGATAATATAGTGTGTCCGTGGTGATAAGGATATGTCCGTGGGTGATAATGGCTTGTCCGTGTTTTAAAAAAATGTGTCCAAGGATAACACTGGTGTGTCCGTGAGTGATAATGGTGTGTCTGGTGATAATGGCGTGTCCCCAAATCCTCCCAATAGTGGACACTCCCCACCCCCTCCCCCCTGTAGTGGACAGTCCCCCACCTCCTGCCACAGTGGACACTCCCCACCTCCCTTCCTGCCAACAATGGACACCTACCTCCCCCTCCCAGTAGTGGACACTCCCTACCCTCCGCCAGTAGTGACACCCCCACCCCCTCCTGCCAATAGTGGACACTCCCCTACCTCACCCCTCCCAGTAGGACACTCCCTCCTGCCACAGTGGACACCCCTACCTACCCTCCCAGTAGTGACACTCCTCACCCTCCTGCCAATAGTGGACACTCCCACCTCACCCCCTCCCAGTGGACACTCCCCACCTCCCCCCTCCCAGTAGTGGACACCTCACCTCCCTCCTGCCAGTAGTGACACTCCCCTACCTCCTGCCAGTAGTGGACACCCCCTACCTCCCTCTCTCTCCTGCCAATAGTGGACACTCCCTCACCTCACCCTCCCAGGAGTGACACTCCCTACTCCCCCAGTAGTGAACACTCCCCATACCCCCCACCCACTAGAGAACACTCCCATACCCCCACACACACTAGAACACTCCTCCCACCCACTAGTGAACACTCCCATACCCCACCAGAACACTCCTGTCCCCCCAACCACTAGTGAACACCCCATACCCCTACTAGTGTACACTCCCATACCCCCCCACCCACTAGTGAACACTCCCACACCCCCACCCACTAGTGAACACTCCCACCCACTAGTGAACACCCCATACCCCCACTAGTGAACACTCCCATACCCCACCCACTAGTGAACACTCCCATACCCCCCACCCACTAGTGAACACTCCCATACCCCACCCACTAGTGAACACTCCCCACCCACCCACTAGTGAACACCCCATACCCCTAGTGAACACCTCCTACCCCACCCACTAGTGAAACTACCCCCCACCCACTAGTGAACACTCCCATACCCACTAGTGAACACCCAATACCCCCCACCCACTAGTGAACACTCCCCATACCCCCCACCCACTAGTGAACACCCCATACCCCACCCACTAAGTGAACACCCCCATACCCCCCACCCACTAGTGAACATCTCATACCCCCCACCCCCAGTGAACACCCCATTCCCCACCAACTAGTAAACACTCCCATACCCCCCACCCACTAGTGAACACTCCCATACCCCCACCCACTAGTGAACACTCCCATACCCCCACCCACTAGTGAACACTCCCATACCCACCTAGTGAACACTCCCATACCCCCACCCACTAGTGAACACTCCCATACCCCACCCACTAGTGAACACTCCCCATACCCCCCACTAGTGAACACTCCCCATACCCCCACCCACTAGTGAACACTCCCATACCCCCACCCACTAGTGAACACCCCATACCCCCACCCACTAGTGAACACTCCCCATACCCCCCACCCCTCTAGTGAACACTCCCATGCCCCCCCCACTCTAGTGAACACTCCCATACCCCACCCACTAGTGAACCCCACATCCCCCACCCACTAGTGAACACTCCCATACCCCACTAGTGAACACTCCCATACCCCCCACCCTCTAGTGAACACTCCCATACCCCCCACCCACTAGTGAACACTCCATACCTCTCCCACTGGTGAGCACTCCATACCCCCCACCCACTAGTGAACACCCCATATCCCCCCACCCACTAGTGAACACTCCCATACCCCCACCCACTAGTGAACACTCCCATACCCCCACTAGTGAACACCCCATACCCCACACCCACTAGTGAACACTCCACATTCCCCCCACCCACTAGTGAACACTCCCCATACCCCCACCCACTAGTGAACACTCCCATACCCCCCCCACCCACTAGTGAACACTCCCATACCCCCTAGTGAACACTCCCATACCCCCCACCCACTAGTGAACACTCCCATACCCCCCACCCACTAGTGAACACCCCCATACCCCCCACTAGTGAACACTCCAATACCCCCACCCACTAGTGAACACTCCCATACCCCACCCACCAGTGAACACTCCCATACCCCCACCCACTAGTGAACACTCCCATACCCCCACCCACTCAGTGAACATTCCCATACCCCCACCTCTAGTGAACACTCCCATTCCCCACCAACTAGTAAACACCCCATACCCCCACCCACTAGTGAACACTCCCATACCCCACCCACTTAGTGAACACTCCCATACCCCCCACCCACTAGTGAACACTCCCATACCCACCTAGTGAACACTCATACCCCCCACCCACTAGTGAACACTCCCATACCCCCACCCACTAGTGAACACTTACCCCACCTAGTGAACACTCCCATACCCCCCCACCCACTAGTGAATACCCCATCCACCCACTAGTGAACACTCCCATACCCCCACCCACTAGTGAACACTCCCATACCCCCACCCCTCTAGTGAACACTCCCCATACCCCCACCTCTAGTGAACACCATACCCCCACCCACTAGTGAACACCCCATACCCCCCACCCACTAGTGAACACCCCATACCCCCACCAGTGAACACACCCCCACCCACTAGTGAACACTCCCATAGCCCCCACCCACTAGTGAACACCTCCTACCCCTCTCCCCACTGGTGAGCACCCAACACCCCCCACCCACTAGTGAACACCCCATACCCCACCCACTAGTGAACACCCCATACCCCCACCCACTAGTGAACACTCCCATACCCCTCCACTAGTGAACACTCCATACCCCCACCCACTAGTGAACACCCTATACCCCCCAACCACTAGTGAACACTCCATACCCCCTACTAGTGAACACTCCCATACCCCCACCCACTAGTGAACACTCCCATACCCCCACCCACTAGTTAACATCCAGCCCCCACAGTGAACACTCCCATACCCCCACCCACTAGTGAACACTCCTGACCCTCCACCCACTAGTGAACACCCCACAGCCCCCCACCCACTAGTGAACACTCCATACCCCCCACTAGAACGCTCCCATACCCCCACCCACTAGTGAACACTCCCCACACCCCACCCACTAGCGAACACTCCCATACCCCCACCCACTAGTGAACACCCCATACCCCCCCACCCACTAGCGAACACCTATCCCCACCCACCAGTGAACACCTTTCCCCCC